GCCCCTCGGTGCCACCTTCCCGTCCCTGCAGGGGCACAGCCCCCCGTGCCAGGGGGGATCGGGCAGTGCCCAGGCGGGGCTGGAGCCGCCCGGGGGGGCTGCAGGGGGGTCTCTTACCCATGGCTGGAGCCTGGGGGGGCCTGTGCTGGCGGCAGAGGGGCCGGGGCTGGAGCTGCAGCTGCTTCTCCCGCTGGAGCGGCTTGTGCCGGGCCGGGAGCTGCGGGGGGATTTATATCCCCGGCCCGGGCCGGGGGCAGCGGGGAAGCCGCCAAGGGAGGGGCCGGGGCTGCCCAGCGCTTGGGAGGGGCCGCCCCAGCCCCGCCGCTTCTTTCCGCCTCCCCACGCCCCATCTGGGGCCAGATCTGCTGCCCCGGCAGGTCTTTGCCCCGCACACAAACCTCCCGCATCTCAGACCGGCGGTTTTTCCCCCCCCGGGAACGGCTTCTCCCCCCTGCCCGGCCCGCCCCGGCCCCGGCCCCGCGCTCCTGCCCCCCCAAATCCCGGGATGCGCAGCCCGGCGGGATCAGCCCCGGCATCAGCCCCGGGATCAGCCCCGCGGGATCCGGGCACGCCGAGCCCCCCGAGGGCACCTCTGGGCTCTGCACCCACAACTCCCTCCGGGGGCCCGAAGGCTCCGGGGGCTGCCGGGGCTCCCGAGGGGCAGCTCCAGAGGGGCCTCTGCCCACAGACGGGGCTTTGGCAGCTCCGGGACACGGGCAGGGGCTCGGGCAGCGCCCTTGGCTGCATCCAAAGGGCTGGGAAGCAGCCGGGGGGGAGTTGGAGCCTCGGCAAACACAACCCGGGCCCCTGCCCAGGCTCAGGGCTGGCACCGGGGGGTTGGGGACCCCAAACTGGGCTGAACTGGCCCCAAACCCCCCAGGAAGGGCACAGACCCCTTCAAGGGCCCGAGGGTGGCAGAAGTGACCCCCCCCTCCTGAGGCCCCTCCATCCTGGCTGCCACCAGCTGCCCAATTCCAGCAGGAAGGAACACTCAGGGCCCTGGAACGTGCATCAGATCTTGGGGAAGAGCTCCCCAATCAGTGGGCACATCCCAGGCCCAGCTAATTGCTGCCCAGGAATGCAGGGACATCCCAGGGGGCCATTAGAGAGCCCTGGGCAGGTCCCACCACCCACTGGCAGGGTGGGCACAGCTCAGCCCCCTGCCCTGGGCTGCCAGCCCTGGCTCTGCTGCCACAGCAGCCCCTGGCCCGTGGCCCAGGGGCACAGGGCAGCAGCCCAGCCCTGCCCGGGCCCTCCTGCACACCCAAAGGGCTGCCCTTGGCACCACTCGGGGCCTTGGGGCACAAAACCAGGGCCAAAGGGGGCACAGGGACCAGCCCCAGCCCCACACAGACACTCCCAGACCACCAGGCCGTGGACAACGGGGGGTCCAGGCACGTCCAGGGCCACCCAAGGGCAGCAGAAGGGCTTCGACAGTCCCAGGGATGGAAAAGGGCAAATCCTGGGAAGAGGGGGCTCAAAGCCTGCTGGGCTGGGCAAGAACTGCAGAGCTGGGAAGAGCAACCCTGTGGGAAGACGTTGGATCCTCCTTCCAGCTCAGACACACCAGGGAGGCCCCTCTGGAGGCCTTTCCATGGCTCAGGGACCCGCTGGGTGAGCTCAGTGTCCCCCCGGGCCGGGCACAGCCCGGCACAGGAACCTTGCCCGGGAACTGCCCAGGACCCTGCCCAGGCCGTGGCTGCCCCAGCCCTGGCAGTGCCCAAGGCCAGGGGAAGGTGTCCCTGCCACCCACCAGAGCCTGGATTCCCTTCCCACCAAACCACTGCTGGGCTGGGAACCAGGGCAACCCCTGCCCGGGGGGAGCCGAGGAAGCGTCTCCACCTCCAGCCCAGGGAATTCTGGAGGGCTTTGGCTTGGAAGGGACATTAAAGCCCAGCCAGTGCCAGCCCTGCCATGCCAGGGACACCTTCCCCTGGCCCAGCCTGCCCTCAGAGCCCGTTGCCAGAGGGAAACCCTTCCCTGGCTCCCCAGGGCAGGAGCTTGTCCTGGGCTCCCCCAGAGGTGCCAGCAAAGGGCACCAGCCTGGCTTTGGGCCCCCCTGGGCACATCCCGGGGGCTGGGCCGCTGCCTCCGTGCTGCTCCTGCTGTCCCCACCTGCCTGTGGCCCTGCACACCTGCTCATTAAGGCCTTCATTAGCGGCTTCATTAAGAGCCGGGGCTGCTCAGCCCACTTTGGGTGACATCTCTGGCATCTCCCCCAGCCCGCCCGGGGTGGAGAATTCCTGATCCAAGCTGATCCCGGCAGATAAGAGCAGGCTCAGCAGCCCCAGCTGGGCACTTGGGGAACACCAGCCCAATCCCAATCCCGATCCCAAGGGCAGTGCCCAGCCCCACTGGCCACTCCTCCCCTCGGCCCCAGCGGCTCCCAGCCCTGATAGGGAAGCACAGGCTGTAATTTGGGAATTTGGGAATGGCCCGGCCTGGCTGATGCAACCAGGGGCAGCCGGGCCCAGCTCAGCAGAGCTTGGCTCTGCCAGGACAGCCTGTCCTGGGGGCCCCTAATGGGCAGGTGTGCAGGGCCACAGGCAGGTGGGGACAGCAGGAGCAGCACGGAGGCAGTGGTGTGTCTGAGCTGGAAGGAGGATCCAACGTCTTCCCACGGGGTTGCTCTTCCCAGCTCTGCAGTTCTTGCCCAGCCCAGCAGGCTTTGAGCCCCCTCTTCCCAGGATTTGCCCTTTTCCATCCCTGGGACTGTCGAAGCCCTTCTGCTGCCCTTGGGTGGCCCTGGACGTGCCTGGACCCCCCGTTGTCCATGGCCTGGTGGTCTGGGAGTGCCTGTGTGGGGCTGGGGCTGGTCCCTGTGCCCCCTTTGGCCCTGGTTTTGTGCCCCAAGGCCCCGAGTGGTGCCAAGGGCAGCCCTTTGGGTGTGCAGGAGGGCCCGGGCAGGGCTGGGCTGCTGCCCTGTGCCCCTGGGCCACGGGCCAGGGGCTGCTGTGGCAGCAGAGCCAGGGCTGGCAGCCCAGGGCAGGGGGCTGAGCTGTGCCCACCCTGCCAGTGGGTGGTGGGACCTGCCCAGGGCTCTCTAATGGCCCCCTGGGATGTCCCTGCATTCCTGGGCAGCAATTAGCTGGGCCTGGGATGTGCCCACTGATCGGGGAGCTCTTCCCCAAGATCTGATGCACGTTCCAGGGCCCTGAGTGTTCCTTCCTGCTGGAATTGGGCAGCTGGTGGCAGCCAGGATGGAGGGGCCTCAGGAGGGGGGGGCCACTTCTGCCATCCTCGGGCCCTTGAAGGGGTCCGTGCCCTTCCGGGGGGTTTGGGGCCAGTTCAGCCCGGTTTGGGGTCTCCCAAGCCCCCGGTGCCAGCCCTGAGCCTGGGCAGGGGCCCGGGTTGTGTTTGCCGAGGCTCCAACTCCCCCCCGGCTGCTTCCCAGCCCTTTGGATGCAGCCAAGGGCGCTGCCCGAGCCCCTGCCCGTGTCCCGGAGCTGCCAAAGCCCCGTCTGTGGGCAGAGGCCCCTCTGGAGCTGCCCCTCGGGAGCCCCGGCAACCCCCGGAGCCTTCGGGCCCCCGGAGGGAGTTGTGGGTGCAGAGCCCAGAGGTGCCCTCGGGGGGCTCGGCGTGCCTGGATCCCGCGGGGCTGATCCCGGGGCTGATCCCGGGGCTGATCCCGGGGCTGATCCCGCCGGGCGGCGCATCCCGGGATTTGGGGGGGCAGGAGCGCGGGGCCGGGGCCGGGTCGGGCCGGGCAGGGGGGAGAAGCCGTTCCCGGGGGGGGAAAAGCTGCCGGTCTGAGATGCGGGAGGTTTGTGTGCGGGGCAAAGACCTGCCGGGGCAGCAGATCTGGCCCCAGATGGGGCGTGGGGAGGCGGAAAGAAGCGGCGGGGCTGGGGCGGCCCCTCCCAAGCGCTGGGCAGCCCCGGCCCCTCCCTTGGCGGCTTCCCCGCTGCCCCCGGCCCGGGCCGGGGATATAAATCCCCCCGCAGCTCCCGGCCCGGCACAAGCCGCTCCAGCGGGAGAAGCAGCTGCAGCTCCAGCCCCGGCCCCTCTGCCGCCAGCACAGGCCCCCCCAGGCTCCAGCCATGGGTAAGAGACCCCCCTGCAGCCCCCCCGGGCGGCTCCAGCCCCGCCTGGGCACTGCCCGATCCCCCCTGGCACGGGGGGCTGTGCCCCTGCAGGGCCGGGAAGGTGGCACCGAGGGGCACGGGGGGCTGTGCCCCTGCAGGGCCGGGAAGGTGGCACCGAGGGGCACGGGGGGCTGTGCCCCTGCAGGGACGGGAAGGTGACACCGAGCCTCGTCCCTCGGGGCCGGCGCTGCCCGAGCTGGGGCTTCCCTTTGGCCTCGGGAGCCTCCCCCGGGGCCGGGGCATCCTCGGGGCATCCGGGATGCCAGGGAAGGTGCCAGGCTGGCCCTTCCATCGAGCCCCGGCTCTGGGGCAGCTCCGTGCCCGTCCCTGCAGCGGGGAGGGCCCGGGGAGGGCTGGGAGGGAGCGGGAGGGGCCCGAGCGGGCCCGGCCCGGGGATGTCCCCGCCGGCCCTGCAGGGAGGAGGATCCCTGTCCCGGGGCCGGGCCGTGTCCCGGCGGTGCCCGGGGCCAGCCGGGCCGGGGGAAGGTGGCCGGGGTGGGCCAGCTCGGCAGAGGAGCCCCCGGAGGCGCGGGCCCAGCCCAGGCTCCCGTTCTCTGCTCTCCCCCCAGACCGATGCAGAGCTCAGTGCTACGAGTACCCCACGTGCTGCCCCGACGTGGCCAAAGGCAAGTCCCGGGCAGGGGGTGGCGAGGGGGCCGTGGGCGAGGATTTGGTGTCTGTGGGACCCCCGGGAGCCCCTTCCCCGGGGGGGGAAACTCTGGGACCCCTCGGCCGTGCTCCCGCCTCTGGGGCAGCCCCGGGGCCGGGGCTGGGGAGGGGTCGGGGGAGGGTCCAGAGCATCAGTTCGGGGCCGGCTGGGAGTTTTTGCTGCAGCTCTTGCTGTCCTCTCTGGCGGCCCTGGGGGTGTGTTTTAAGCCAAGTTTTGTGTGCCAGCCCCTCGGGAGGAGGTTGCCTACGTGACCTGCACCTACAGATCCACCTGCATCGACCAACCTGATTTCCTGGCCACCGTGGACCTCAACCCCAGGTCTCCCTGCTATGGCCAGGTACCTGTTCCTCTCTGCTCTTGCTGGGTTGGTGATTTGCTCCTGGTTCTTCTGCTTCAAAGGCCTCCAGGGTCGGGACATTCTCTCTGCTGTGCTGGGGAAAAGCAGGTTTCTCGTTGGCCCCTCTGCCCCTGCCTTGCACCTCCTCATCCTCCTGCATCTGCCTCATCCTGCTGCTTGTCCCCTGGTAGGAGTCACCGGGAAAACCTCTTGTGAGCTCTGTCCTGTCTCCTTTCCCCTCCCTGGTGTCCTGCACCAGCCAGGGGGGTTTTCTGCTCACAATCCCACCTTCCTGCTCTCTTCCCACTCTCCCGTGTGCTCCTGGCTCGTCTCCATCTCGGTGTCAGCTTTGAGTCACTTCCCAACTCCCTTCCAGAGGATCCTGGCGTGGTTCTGAGCCCTGGAGCACGAGCTGGGGAGATCCCCCGGCAGGAGGGGAACGTGGGGCTGTCCCAGGGGGTTCAGGTGTCCTGGAGCAGATTCCAGCAGGTTTCTCTCGTGCTCAGATGTCAGGGGTGTTCCCTCGTGCTGCCCTGTGCCCATCCCAGCTGGCACACGGGCATTTCCCTGCCCCTGGAGGCTGCCAAGGCACAGCCACACATCCAGGGTGCAGAGAGCACCCGAGCAGCCCACGGCTACAAGTGGCCAGAAGGAAAAGTCCCTGCAAAGGCAGAACAGGCTCCTGAACAATCTCAGGGCATTTTAAAGTCCCTCCTGGGGAGGAGTTTGCAGAGCAAAGCCCCGGCTCTGTCAGGAGGAGGAAGATCCCTTCTCCCCGGGCACGTTCTCCTGGATTGCAGTGGGATGGGCTGAGGAGTGCTGGGATCAATCCCCCTTTGGCAGAGCAGTGCCCAGGGCAGGGAGCAGCGTTGTCCCCCCGGCCGTGCCCGGGCAGTGCCAGCCCCTGGCCAGGGAGCCCCCGAGAGCCCCAGGCCCCGGCAGCAGCAGGATCGGCGCGGTGCCTCCCCCCTAACTGTGCCTTGGCTGCCGCAGGTGATCCACCGGCTGCCCATGCCCAACCTCAAGGACGAGCTGCACTGCTCGGGGTGGAGCTCTGGCTGCGGCTGCTTTGACGCTGGCAGCGCCAGGAGGAACAAGCTGGTGCTGCCCTGTCTGATTTCCTCCCGCATTTACGTGGTGGATGTGGGCTCCCAGTGCCGGGCCCCCAAGCTGTGCAAGGTATGCCCGGGGGGACGCCAGCCCGCTGGCAGGGAGGTGGCAACTGGGGCTTCTGGGGCGCTGCCCGGGCACCGAGGGCTCTCTGCTCAGCTTCTCTCGCAGCCTGGCTTGGCAGAGCTGGCACAGTTCTCCTCTGGGCTCTGTCCTTGCCGCTCCCAGGAGGGCTCCCCCCGTCCTTTGTGCCCACAGGGAAGCCCTGGGAGTGCCCAGCACCCCCTGCCTGCCCCCCAAAGAGTGGGGGGTCCCGGGAGCTGCTCTGAGCTGGGAGTTGCTGCAGGGGCAGCTCAGGGGCTTCTGTGCCCTCCCTGGGGAGGAGCAGCCCCAGCCAGGGGGGCTGTGGGAGGGAGAGCTGCGGGAGCAGCAGGGATGGCAGGAGCCTGTGAGGGCCCAGGGTTGGAGCGGAGGCCTCAGAGGGGTTTGCCAAGGCCGAGGATGCCGTGGGGGTGCGGGAGGAGCGGAGCAGGCGGGGCTGAAGGGGGTGTGCGTGGCTTTGGCAGACGATCGAGCCGGTGGACGTGTTCTGGAAGTGCAACAAGGGCTACCTGGCCGTGACCCACAGCCTGCCCAACGGGGACGTGCTCATCGCCAACACGGGAGACCCCGCGGGCAACGGCAAAGGTACCTTGTCCCGCCCCCGTTCCCAAAGCTGCGCTTCCCTTTGGGAAAAGCGGAGCGTGGCTGGATCCCACCCCCCCGGTGTGTCCCAGGTGGCTTCGTGGTGCTGGACGGGGAGAGCCTGGAGCTGAAGGGCAACTGGGAGAACGAGTGCGAGGCCCCCCCGACGGGCTACGACTTCTGGCTGCAGCCGCGGCACAACGTGCTGGTCAGCTCTGCCGGGGCGGTGCCCAGACGGGCGGGCCGGGGCTTCAACCCCGACGACCTGAAGAAAGGTGCGGGCGCGGGGCCGGCGGGGCCGGGGCGGCGCTCCCCGAGGCCCGGGGGGCGTGGGGGGCACGCGGGGCGGGCGGGTTTCCCCCGCCGGGCCCCTTTTCCCCGGGGGACGGGCGGCCTCTCCCGCGGCTCCCGCGGCGTTTTCCCGCGTTTTGGGGAGGGCCGGGGGGCTCGGGCCGCCCCCCCGGCCTGTGCTGAGCCCCCTTGGCCGCCCCTCAGGGGTCTTCGGGCGCCGCCTGAACGTGTGGAACTTGTCGTGCCGCAGCCTCACCCAGTGCTTCGACCTGGGCGAGGACTCGCTGCCCCTGAGCGTGAGATTCCTGCACAACCCCGACGCCGCCGAGGGCTACGTGGCCTGTGCCCTCAGCGGGGTCACCTACCGCTTCTACAAGTGCGAGGTGGGCACGGGCACCCCCGGGCAGGAGGGGGCTGTGCAGAGGGGCCGGGGGTGGGCTGGGCCCGGGCCGGGGAACACAGGGGAGACCCCGGGCCAGGCACTGGGGGGGCTCAGGGGCCGTGTTTGTGTGCAGAGAGACAACTGGGCCGTGGAGGAGGTGATTCGCATCCCGCCCAAGGAGGTGTCGGGCTGGATCATGCCCAAGATGCCAGGTTGGTGTGACCCCCTGGGGGCCTTCCTTCTCCCTCCCAGAGCCCTGGGCAGTGCAGGCTGGCAAAGCCTGGCTGAGCCCCCGGCCTGGCTGAGCCCCAGGCCCCGTGCCCTGTGCTGGTGCTGTCCCTGAGCCGTGTCCCTGTCGCAGCCTTCACCGTGGACCTGCTCATCTCCCCGGACGACAGGTTCCTGTACCTCAGCAACTGGATCCACGGGGACATCCGGCAGTACGAGCTCTCCAAGAACTGCAAGCCCCGGCTGGTGGGGCAGGTGAGGGGGGCACGGGGGGCCGGGGGGGTGGGGACACGCCGGGGACACGCCGGGGACACGCCAGGGACACGCGTGTGCCACTGCCCCCCTGCAGGTGTTCGTGGGGGGCAGCATCCTGCGAGGGGGCCCCGTGACCGTGTGTAGGGACGAGGAGCTCAAGTGCCAACCCGAGCCCCTGGTGATCAAGGTGAGAGCTGGAGACTTGGGAGGGGAGGCACCGCTCTGCTCTCAGCCTCATCTGCTCCTCATCTGCTCCTGCTCCTACCATGCTCCTTCTCTTCCTCCTGCCCTGCTCCTGCTCCTGCTCCTGCTCCTTCTCCTTCTCTGCTCCTTCTCCTTCTCTGCTCCTGCCTTCCTCCTTTTCTTCCTCCTGTTCAGCTCCTTGTCCTACTCCTTCCCCTGCCCCTGCCCCGCTCCTGCCCCCCCCCAGCCCCAGTAACTCCCAGTTCCCCCCAGTGCAAGCGGATTTACGGCGGCCCCAGCAAGCTGCAGCTGAGCCTGGACGGGCGCCGGCTCTACGTCACCAACTCCTTCTACAGCACGTGGGACAAGCAGTTCTACCCCACCATGGTCAGGTGGGCAAACGGGGGGGCAAAAGGGGCTCCTGGGCACGGGGGGGGCTCTGCAGGGCCAGGGGGGCACAGGGGGGCAGTGGGAGAGGGGCGGTGCCCCCCGGGCTCTGGGGGGCCGGGGCTGTGCCAGAGCATCTCCCGGGATCCCGCAGAGCTCGGGATGGAGCCCAGCACACGAGGATCTCCGGCCCGGGGCGGTGCCAGCCTGGCCTGGCACGTCCTGCCCGGGGCACCTGCGGCCCGGGGCACATCCTGCCCGGCGCTGGGCTCGTGTCCGGGGGGCATTGAGGGCCGGGAGCGGAGCTGAGCCTCGGCTCCTGGTCCCGGAGCCGTTCCCTGGAGCCCCCCGGGCCGGGATGGGCCGTGCCCAGAGCTGCCCCTCGTGCCCCCCAGGGAGGGCTCCGTGATGCTGCAGATCGACGTGGACACGGAGAAGGGAGGCCTGGCCGTCAACAAGAACTTCCTGGTGGATTTTGGCAAGGAGCCCAACGGGCCCTGCCTGGCCCACGACATTCGCTTCCCCGGCGGCGATGCCACCTCCGAGATCCTGCCCTAGGAGGGATCCCGGGCCGGCTCCGCCCTTCCCTCCCCCTGCAGTGCCCCTGCTGGGAAAGGGCGCCGGCTGAGGGGCTTTGGGGTCCCTTTGGGGTCCCAGGTGATGGGCTTTGGGGTCCCGGCTGAGGGGCTTTGGGGTCCCCGCTCCTCCCTCCGCTCCCAATTCCCCCCCCCTGAGCTCAGGGAGCTCGAATTTTCCCCCGGCCTTGTGCGGCCAAACCAGTGCGGACACACGAGCCCAGTTCCCATTCCTGGCTGGCCAGGGTGGGGCCAGCCCGGGCAGGCTCCAGGAGTGATCCCGGGCAGGCTCCAGGACTGATCCCGGGCAGGCTCCAGGCTCCATCCCGGGCAGGCTCCAGGAGTGATCCCTGGGCAGGCTCCAGGAGTGATCCTGGGCAGGATCCAGATTCCAGGCTCCATCCCGGGCAGGCTCCAGGAGTGATCCCGGGCAGGCTCCGGGAGTGATCCCTGGGCAGATTCCAGGCTCCATCCCGGGCAGGCTCCAGGAGTGATCCCGGGCAGGCTCCAGGCTCCATCCCCTCGCTGGCTCCGTGCAGGGGGTGCAGCCCCAGCCCCGGGGCAGGTCCCGGCAGTGCCACACTCCTGTCCCAGCCCTGCCCTGCTGGTCCCACATCCCCAGGGGCCCCGGGAAGGGGCTCAGCTCCCCGGGAGGCTCCCGAGCTCCTGGGCACAAAGGGCAGTGCCCGGTTCCAGCCAGTTCCCCCTCCGGACGGGCCCTTCCCAAGGGGTTTGCCCTCCTGGCTCCCGTCCCAGCGGCTCCTGTCCCAGCTGGAGGAGCTGCCAGTGCTGGGTTGGGAAGAGGGGCCCGTTTGCTGACACTGGTTTGCTCTTGTCCCGCTTTCAACGCCAATAAAACTCTTGGTTGCATCAGCTGGGCCTTCTCGTGTCTCCTTTCCCACGGAGGGCAGGGAAAACAAGCCCCAGCAGGGCTTTGGGAGAAGATCGGGCTTGGGCAAACCCCTCAGACAGGACCCTGGTTGGGCAGGGACCCTCTTGGTCCTCCTGCAGGTTTCTGGTAGGAATTGTCTTTGCCTGGTTCTTTTTCTGGTGTGGATTCTCCCAGCCCGTCGTTTTTATGGGATTTCTCTCCCTTTGATGTATTCTAATGGGTTTGGGAGCCAGCCCAGGGCAATCCCTTGTGTTTGGGAAGTGGTTGCCTGGCTCCTGGATGTCAGGATGTTGCTTCCAGCTTGACCAGTTTTCCCATGGACAGCCCAGTCTGAACACGCTCGAGGAACAGTAAATTTGGGGTTTTCACCCCAAGTTCTCTTCCTACACTTTATGTGTTGGCAAACTAACCTCAGTCCCTTGGGAATTCTCAGTTCTCCTTCCCCCTGAGTGTTTCCCCAAATCCAGAGGGAATTGTGGGAGTTGTAGACCCTCCTCCTGCTCTCCAGGTGCTGCCCAGGACGTGGAATCCTTGTCAGGTAGTTTGTGGTCCGGGGAAAAGCAGGACCTGAAATTCCAGGTGGAGGAAGAGGCAGTCCTTGGAGCAGTTCTGTGCTGATGGAAGAGGTGCAGCCTGCCCTCCCCTGGCCACGGGCAGAACAGGTGCCTTTTCCAAGGGCAGATTCCCATGTCCATCCCAAAAAAAAAGGACACACATTTGTCAGACAAACGACAGTGACCTCACAGCTGTGGCCTTTGAGACACAAAATGCCCAAATGCCTGAAAGACCAAAAGAAAAAAAGCACCTCCAGCTGAGCTGAAGGGTGATTTTATTGCTGATTTTTTGTGGCATCGGTGCACGGATGAGACGAGAGCTCAGGAAGAGAAATCTGAATTCAGACAGCGGGCAAAGCTCCAGGTGCCCTGATCCTCCTGGTGATAAAGGGAGGGTTTGGGAAGCTCTGGGAGGGGATAGAGCAGCCCCAGGAGGATGGTCACAGCCAGATGTCCGAGGTGCAGTCCCCCCCAGGGTATCTCATCTCGTGGGCCAGCGCCGGCCCGTCCGGCTCCTGCCCAAAATCCACCAGGAAGTTTGGGTTCACCGCCAGCCCCCCTCGCTCGGTGTCCACGTCGATCTGCAGCATGACAGAGCCCTCCCTGCCAAAGGCACGAGCAAACAGGCGCTGGGAGAAGGGGCCGTGGCGTTAATTGCCTCGTTAATTGGTTAATAACTGAGCCCAGGGCTCCTTACTGGAGCAGGTCGGGGTAGAACTGCTTGTCCCAGCCGCTGTACAGGGAGTTGGTGACGTACAACCTCTTCCCATCCAAGCTCAGCTGCAGCATCTGAGGCCCGCCTGGAACCTTCTTGCCCTGAAATTTGGGGAGAAGGAGGCGCTCGAGCCAAGCTGGATAAAGGAAATGTGGCCACAAGGAGAAAGAAAACAGCCCTGCCCGGAGAGATCCCAAATTCCCGAGGCAGGAACGTCAAATCCACGGCTCTGGGGAGGGAACAGTTTTTATTGGGAGTCTTCTTCCTTCTTAACAGGAGCCTTGGAGTCACTGCAGGTGAGTTCCACTTAATTCACACAGTTAACCAGGTAAAAAGGTGAGGGTGAAGGATGTGGAGCTTCCCGGAGTGGTTTTCATAAAACCATGGAATTATTAAGGTTGGAAAAGCCCTCTGAGATCACCAAGTCCAGCTGTTCCCCCCAGCACCACCAAACCACGTGCCCAGGTGCCACATCCACACGTTTCCCAAACACTTCCAGGGGTGGTGGTTCCACCACTGCCCAGCTTTGGTGGCCAACAGGTTTTAGTCGAGACCACCTTCGGTTCTCCCACACCCCGAGACCTTCCACAGGCAGCTCAGTGGGAATAATGTCAGGTCAGTGGTGGAACTTCAGAGGGCTTTGCCAACCTTAACGATTCCATGACTTTTTTTAGGCTGAGAAGGGAAGATTTAGGTTGGATATCAGGGATAAATTCTTCCCTGTGAGGGTGGTGAGGGCCTGGCATGGACGTGCCCAGACCTGGCACCTGCCCAGGCCATCAAGGTGTAATTACCTTTAAATATTGGGCACCTTCCAATGGATTGGAATCAGTTGGGAGCACTGACCTGGATGACAAAGGGCTCTGGCTGACACTGCAGCTCCTTGTCCTCCAGCACAGTCACAGGGCCCCCCCTGGCAATGCTGCCCCCCAGGAAGACCTGCGGGCAGGGAAGGGGGGAGAACAGGCAGAGAACAGGCAGAGAACGGGGCCAAAACCCCGGAGCCAAAGCAAACTGGGGCGTTTCTCCTCTTGGGAAAAGGAGGACACCCCTCCTGAGCTGACCCCCAGGGCTGGCAGGGGGGTTTTTCCCTCACCTGCCCCACGAGCCGGGGCCGCCGGGGGTCGGAGATGTCGTACTGCCGCACGTCCCCGTGCAGCCAGTTGCTGAAGTACAGGAACCTGTCGTCCAGGGAGATCAGGATGTCGGTGATGAGACCTGCAGGAGGGAATTCCAGGGCTGAGCCAGCAGGATCAGCACCAAACCAGCCCCAGTCCCGCTCTCTGGCAAAGCTCTGCTCACAGAAGCTCAAAGTCATGAGAGCTGGAGGGACACAGCCCACCCCGGAATCCCAGGGCCTGCTCCAAGCAGGTTCAGGCTCCACCAGCATTCCCAGGATATATTCCTGGACACCCTCAGGCCCAAACTCCCAAGGATTCTTCTGGAGAAAGTGACCTCAAGCATTGGAGCAGCGTGGGAGCAGAGCACAACCTCACCCGGCCACCTCAGAACCCCCTCCCACAAATTTGGTCTTTTTTTTTGCCATTTAAGGACAAAATTAGGCCAAAAGCTGCTCTGGACCAGGGAACTGATGAGGAGAACATCCCATTTCTTTCCCAACATGGTCCCACCAACCAGGCATGTCCGGGAGGAGCCATCCTTGCACCTTCTTGCTGGGCACTTCGATCACCTTCTCCGCTGCCCAGTCCCCTTTCTGCAGGAGGGAACACGGAATTCTTATCCAAGGAGTCACTAAATCCTGGAATATCCCGAGCTGGAAGGGACCCACGAGGGTCCTCAAGGTCCAGCTCCTGTTGGTTGCTTTGCTGAGCTCCAGAGGGCTCAGCTGGGCTTGGCAGAGGGAGGAGAACTGGGATTTATTTACCAGGGGCTGCACAGGGGGGGATTCACACAGGGAGTGTTACTGAGGGTGGTAACAGTATTCCCAGTGGGAATGTTACTAGTTTTCCTATGGAACAATATCTCAAATTGCTCTGGGGTCTCCAGGCTACACTCCCCTGTCCCTCCCTCCTCTACCTTCAGGTCTCCCCTACACTTCCAAAGGCCAGCAGGGAGCACCCAGTGACCCTGGAGACAAATCCCACACTTCCAAAGGCCAGCAGGGAGCACCCAGTGACCCTGGAGACAAATCCCACACTTCCAAAGGCCAGCAGGGAGCACCCAGTGACCCTGGGGACAAATCCCACACTTCCAAAGGCCAGCAGGGAGCACCCAGTGACCCTGGGGACAAATCCCACACTTCCAAAGGCCAGTAGGGAGCACCCAGTGACCCTGGGGACAAATTCCAGGTGTCCTGCTCAGCTGTCCAGCTGACCCACGTGTGCTGACCAGCTTGAAGGCCACAAAAGGAGCTGCTGAGCTGCTGCTGAGCTGCTGCTGCAGCCCCTTCCTCAGGGAAAGCCTCCAAGTGATCCCCAAGGGCTCAGGGAATTCCCAGAGAGGGACTTTTCCCGGGGGTGTGGAGCGATGGCACGAGGGGGAACGGCCTTAAGGTGCAGGAGGGGGGGTTTGAGGGAGAAATTCCTCCCTGGGAGGGTGGGGAGGCCCTGGCAGGGGTTATTCCATGGATTCCCCATCCCTGGGAGTGTCCAGGGCCAGGCTGGATGGAGCTCCTGGAGCGACCTGGGCTGGTGGGAGGTGTCCCTGCCGTGAACAAACTGCCCTTGGAGGTCGCTCCCAACCCAACCCAACCCAACCCAACCCAACCCAACCCCTTCCAGGATCCCATCCCTGGTGAGCCCATCCCTGTGGGAATGCAGAGGCTCCTGATCCCATCCCTGTGGGATGCAGAGGCTCCCCCAACCCAACCCTTCCCTGCTCCCATCCCTGTGGGATGCAGAGGCTCCTGATCCCATCCCTGTGGGATGCAGAGGCTCCTGATCCCATCCCTGTGGGATGCAGAGGCTCCTGATCCCATCCCTGTGGGAATGCAGAGCTCCCTGATCCCATCCCTGTGGGATGCAGAGGCTCCTGCTCCCATCCCTGTGGGATGCAGAGGCTCCCTGATCCCATCCCTGTGGGATGCAGAGGCTCCTGATCCCATCCCTGTGGGAATGCAGAGGCTCCCCCAACCCAACCCAATCCCTTCCAGGATCCCATCCCTGGTGATGGGATTCCCTGTGGGATGCAGAGGCTCCCTGATCCCATCCCTGTGGGATGCAGAGGTTCTCCCAACCCAACCCCTTTCCAGGATCCCATCCCTGTGGGAATGCAGAGCTCCCTGATCCCATCCCTGTGGGATGCAGAGGCTCCCCCAACCCAACCCTTTCCAGGATCCCATCCCTCTGGGAATGCAGAGGCTCCCCCAACCCAACCCTTCCCTGATCCCATCCCTGTGGGATGCAGAGGCTCCCTGATCCCATCCCTGTGGGATGCAGAGGCTCCCTGATCCCATCCCTGTGGGATGCAGAGGCTCCCTGATCCCATCCCTGTGGGATGCAGAGGCTCTCCCAACCCAACCCAACCCCTCCCTGATCCCATCCCTGTGGGATGCAGAGGCTCCTGCTCCCATCCCTGTGGGATGCAGAGGCTCCCCCAACCCAACCCAACCCCTTCCAGGATCCCATCCCTGGTGATGGGATTCCCTGTGGGATGCAGAGGCTCCTGCTCCCATCCCTGTGGGATGCAGAGGCCCCCCAGCTCCCCCACACCCACCTGTGTCCTGTGGAAGCGCTGCACGGCCCCGCTCAGGGCACAGCCCACGAACCCCTCGCCCGCCGCCGGCTCGTGCAGGAACCGGATTTCCAGAGGGACGGAGCCCTTCCCCAGATCCAGGGCCTGCAGCAGCCTGTGGGTGCTCCAGTCCCACACGTTGATGTGGCGCCCGTAGAGCCCTGGGAGAGGGGGTGGGGCAGAGGAAACGTTCATTTAACGAAGGATTTGAGGGAATAGTTTCGTTTTTAAGGGGTTTTTCCTCACCTTTCTCCACGTCAGCGGGGTCGAACCCGTCCCTCAGGGCCTTTGGGACCCCCCACTCCGTGCTCAGCAGGACGTTGTGCCGGGGTTGGTACCAGAAGTCGTAGCCCAGGGAAGGGACCTTCTCCCCCTTCTCCCAGTTTCCTTTCACCTCGAAGGTCTCTCCGTCCAGCAGGATAAAACTCCCTGGCACAAAACCCCAAAAAGAAGTGTTGGGAGACATTCACAAAGCCTTAAAGAGGAGAAATAATTTAAATAGCTGTTTTCTAATATGCAACCCTACACTGGAAGAATATTTTGTGATCCTGGCTTTGCTTTTTCTCCTTTAAGGAATATTTTGTGATCCTGGCTTTGCTTTTTGTCCTTTAAGGAATATTTTGTGATCCTGGCTTTGCTTTTTGTCCTTTAAGGAATATTTTGTGATCCTGGCTTTGCTTTTGTCCTTTAAGGAATATTTTGTGATCCTGGCTTTGCTTTTTGTCCTTTAAGGAATATTTTGTGATCCTGGCTTTGCTTTTGTCCTTTAAGGAATATTTTGTGATTTTGGTTTTGCTTTTTGTCCTTCAAGGAATATTTTGTGATTCTGGCTTTGCTTTTGTACTTCAGTGAATGTTTTGTGATTCTGGTTTTGCTCTTGTGGCCCAAAGCAAACAAAACCTGGGTTTTTAAAGGCTTTTTATCACACGACAATGAATTTTTTTTAAGGTCCAGTTTGCTGGACTCCTGGAGGAGTCACCTCTGGTTTTCTTGGATTGCCACCAGTATCCTTGAATTCTGATAATTCCTACTCAATCCTGACAAATCCTACTCCCAGTAATCACCTACTGAGGGACATGTTTGCCTCTGACCCAGCAGGAAAACCCCTGGGAAAAGGAGGAGGATAATAAAGATTTTAAAAGTTCTGCTTTCGCAGCCCGGGCTTGGGGAAAAGGATCCAGGAATCTTTCCCTGGAGCAAGGAGGGCCAGGAATCCTTTCCCTGGAGCAAGGAGGGCCAGGAATCCTTTCCTGGAGCAAGGAGGGCCAGGAATCTTTCCCTGGAGCAAGGAGCAACAGGAATCCTTTCCCTGGAGCAAGGAGGGCCAGGAATCCTTTCCCTGGAGCAAGGAGGGCCAGGAATCCTTTCCTGGAGCAAGGAGGGCCAGGAATCTTTCCCTGGAGCAAGGAGGGCCAGGAATCTTTCCCTGGAGCAAGGAGCAACAGGAATCCTTTCCTGGAGCAAGGAGCACAAGGCCTCCTTTCCTGGAGCAAGGAGGGCCAGGAATCCTTTCCTGGAGCAAGGAGGGGCCAGGAATCCTTTCCTGGAGCAAGGAGGCCAGGAATCCTTTCCCTGGAAGCAAGGGGCCCGGAACCTTTCCTGGAGCAAGGAGGGCCAGGGAATCTTCCCTGGAGCAAGGAGGGCCAGGAATCATCCCTGGACAAGGACCAGGAATCTTTCCCTGGAGCAAGGAGGGCCAGGAATCCTTTCCTGGAGCAAGGAGCAACAGGAATTCTTTCCCTGGAGCAAGGAGGGCCAGGAATCCTTTCCTGGAGCAAGGAGGGCCAGGAATCCTTTCCTGGAGCAAGGAGGGCCAGGAATCTTTCCCTGGAGCAAGGAGGGCCAGGAATCCTTTCCTGGAGCAAGGAGGGCCAGGAATCCTTTCCTGGAGCAAGGAGGGCCAGGAATCTTCCCCTGGAGCCAGAGGAGGGCCAGGAATCCTTCCCTGGAACAAGGAGGGCCAGGAATCCTTTCCCTGGAGCAAGGAGGGCCAGGAATCCTTTCCCTGGAGCAAGGAGGGCCAGGAATCCTTTCCCTGGAGCAAGGAGGGCCAGGAATCTTCCCCTGGAGCCAGAGGAGGGGCTCAGCACCTTTGCCATTGCCAGCAGGGTCCCCCAGGCAGCTGATGAGGATGTCCCCGGAGCCCAGGCAGTGGGAGGTGTGAGGGTTGGCCGCGTTCCCCTTCCCGAACAATTCCGTCGGCTCCACCACCTGGAATGGGGAGGCACAGACAGGAAAACCCAAACAATTCCACGTGGGAAAACCGGGAATTCGGATCCAAACCTCCCTCTGCCAGGTCTGTGTCTCTGCCAAAGCAACCCTGTGGCAGCAGAGGGTTTATTTGGGGGAAATTTCAATCATTTCCACGAAAAAAGAGACGTAAAGAAATGTTCATTTTGACATATTTAAAATGTTTCCTTAATTTTTGCTGTTCAAAAAAGCACAGGTTTAGGAACCAAGGGTTACAAATCAAAGAGGGGGGGTCCCTTCTGGGTTTGATCATGGAAAATCCAACAGAAATTTGAATTTAGCCCTGGAAAACATAGTACATAGTCAGCCAAACGTGCCTCTTGTAGTCAAAACCAATAACTGTGACTGAAATACTGCAGAGGCAGGTTGGGAACTTTTAGAATTAATTTTAAATTAATTTAAAATCCACCACATTTACTTGTGTTTCTTTGGGACAATGGTTTTGTGTGGAGTTTATCAATAAAGGCTCCCACCAGTTCCTAATTAATGCTGGACAGAGGTTTCCATGAATGTTCTGGAAGTTGGAATCCTTGGAGTCTCTTGGGTATTAAAAAAAAAAAAAAAAGAGAAATAAAAATGTGATGTGAACCTTGTGGAGCCTGGGAGCCCTGGGGTCTGTTCCCACATCCACCACGTAGATCCTGGAGGAGATGAGGGCTGGAAGGATGAGGAGATTCCTGCTTTTCCTGCAGTCCCCAAAGCAGCTGCTGCAGGTGTTCCAGCCGGAATGGTGCAGCTCATCCTGCAGGTTGGGCATGGGCAGGCGGTGGATCACCTGGAAAACAGGGAAAGCAGGGAAATCAGGGCTCCAGAGCCAGGGCGGGTCACCTGGGAATCAGGGAAATCCTGGAAATCAGGGCTCCAGAGCCAGGGTGGGTCACCTGGGAATCAGGGAAATCCTGGAAATCAGGGCTCCAGAGCCAGGGTGGATCACCTGGAAAACAGGGAAATCCTGGAAATCAGGGCTCCAGAGCCAGGGCGGGTCACCTGGGAATCAGGGAAATCAGGGAAATCCTGGAAATCAGGGCTCCAGAGCCAGGGTGGGTCACCTGGGAATCAGGGAAAGCAGGGAAAGCCTGGAAATCAGGGCTCCAAACCCAGCCTGCTTCCATGGATCACCTGGAAATGAGGGAAATTAGGGCTCCAAACCCAGGGTGGATCACCTGGAAATCAGGGAAATCAGGGAAATCCTGGAAATCAGGGCTCCAAACCCAGGGTGGATCACCTGGGAATCAGGGAAATCAGGGAAATCCTGGAAATCAGGGCTCCAAACCCAGCCTGCTTGTATGGATCACCTGGAAATGAGGGAAAGCCTGGAAATCAGGGAAATCCCGGAAATCAGGGAAATCCTGGAAATGAGGGAAATCAGGGCTCCAAACCCAGCCTGCTTCCATGGATCACCTGGAAATCAAGGAAATTCTGGAAATCAGGGCTCCAAAGCCAGGATGGATCACCTGGAAAAGAGGGAAATCCTGGAAATGAGGGAAATCCTGGAAATGAGGGAGATCAGGGCTCCAAAGCCAGCCTGTTTCCATGGATCACCTGGAAATCAAGGAAATTCTGGAAATCAGGGAAATCCTGGCAATCAGGGCTCCAAAGCCAGCCTGTTTCCATGGATCACCTGGAAATCCTGGCAATCCTGGCAATCAGGGCTCCAAACCCAGCTTTGGGGTTTTTTTCCCCCAGGCAAAGCAAAGGGTCTCAATGGCAAGGAAATGGGTCGTTGTGTCCGAGTGGGAAGGCACAAAAGGAGGAGGAAAAGGGCTGTTTGCCAGGCAGGAATTGGTGAAATCCAGGGATTAGGTTGTGATTCCTGCTGTGTGGGGGGGTGAGATGTCCCAAGGAACTCTCAAACCTTCCAGGGCTGAACGTTCACACACACACAAAAAAAAAAGAGAAATATTAAAAACGCCCTGGGAGGGCCTCGAGAAAAAGGAGAAATGTTAATTTTGGGGTAAGAAAATTTAAAGCAGAGGCTTTTGTGGCTTTCCCCCACAAATATTTACTTGTTAAGGGATCTGGGAACCCAGATATTCCCCCCCCAGCAGGTACCTGGCAGTAGTGGGGGGATTTGGGGTCCACATCCACCGTGGCCAGGTAGTCAGGTTTTTGGATGCCCGTGTTCCTGTAGATGCAGGGCAGGTAGAGCAGCTCCTCCCGGGGGCCTGGAGGGCACAGAGGCACCAAAAAACCTCAGTTTTACCAAAAAAAACCTGGGGACACTGAAAGGAACTTGAGGGTTTCACCTGTCTGGGAGTTGGGATTCTTCCCAGGAGGTGAAGCTGAGGGTTGCCTTTGCTTTTTGCTTTTTATAAAGGAGGCCTTTATATTTTATATATTTTATATATTTTATGTATTTTATATATTTTATGTATTTTATATTTTATATATTTTATATGTTCTATATATTTTATATATTCTGTATGTTTTATATACTTTATATTTCATATACTTTATATATTTCACATTATATATTTAATATAGTTTATATATTTCATGTACTTTATATATTTCACATATTTTTTATATATTTCATATACTTTATATATTTCATATACTTTATATATTTCACACACGTTATATATTTCACGTATTTTTTATATATTTCATATACTTTCTATATTTCACATTCTATATTTCACATACTTCCTATATTTCACACAAGCCACTCAGGGAGGCATCCACCTTGTCTTCCCCTAATTCCAAAACAATTCCACTGCTGCTGCCTGGATTTTTGGGAAAGCTGTCCCAGAACTTGCCTTTCATGGCGTCCAGAGGACTTGCATATCCTGGTCCACAGGCTCCACATTTTGCTGATTGGAGAGAGAGGAAAAAAATCCAATTATTTCAACACCTCTAAGAGGACTGGGGGGGTTTGCACGGAGAGGGGGAGGAATTTGAACTCCAGGTTTTTTTAATTGCTGGCTCCAGGGTCATTCCAGCTCCTGGAAATATCCGTGGTGTGATGCTCCATCCTCAGGAAAAATGGGAAGTTGGGGCCTTCAGGGAGTTCAGCCTCCCCTTTTCAGAGCACTTTTGTCTGTGCCAGAGGTCTGGGATGTGGGAAAAGGGTGTTCAGGATTTGAGGGAGCTGCTGGGGACTGAGGAGACAGAATTCCCAACGGAATTCCCAACGGGAACAACCCCCGTGGTTATTCCTGGAGAGCCTCTGGGCTTTCCCTGCACAGAAATGCTGCAGAAGTGGGGATTTTTGTTTTTTCAGGATTCAGAGCCTGGAAAAGGAGGGATGGACCAGGAGGAACCTTCTCTCCATGGAAAGCTCAGCTCCCTGGCTCTGCTCTCCCACCAGGGATTCCATCCTCATTCCCACTTTCTCCAGTCAGGAACTGCAAGTGCAGCAGTTGTTTTTCCACAGCTGCTCCCCCTGGGAAGTCGTGGAGCTCTGGAGGGAGCCCAGAGGAGGCCCCGGAGCTGCTCCAAGGGCTGGAGCTGCTCCTGCTCCGGAGCCAGGTGGGATCTGGGAATGTGCAGCCTGGAGAAGGGAAGGCTCTGGACAGAGCCCAGGAGGGCTGGAGAGGGACCTGGAGGGAGGGACAGACACAGGGAATGCCTTCCCAGTGCCAGAGGGAACATTGGGAAGGAATTCTGCCCTGCAACGGTGGCCAGGGCCTGGGTTTCCAGGGAATTTGTGGCTGCCCCAGCCCTGGAAGTGTCCAAGGCCAGGTTGGAGCAACCTGGGATAGAGGAAGGTGTCCCTGCCCTGGAATGGGCTTTAATGTCCTTCCCACCCAAGACAAAACTCGTGGGCACAGGCTAAAAAATTAAACTTAAGAGGCAGAAAAAAAAGGAAAATAATGATTTTTTTAAATGATGGAACATTTATATCTTGGTGCTTTGCTAAGCACCAACATTCCCACCAGGATACACATTCCTGCTGAGCCAGAATCGTGGGTTTTTTACCTAATCGATGGTTTTTAACCCGGGCAGAATCATGTTTTTTACCCAAACCTTCCAACCCTTCCCTGTTTCGCAGCCCCAAGGTGACAGAATTCCTGGCAAACCGCACAACATTTCACAATCCAGCGTCCAAACTCTTTAGTCCCTCCCTCTGCTTCCTGTCCCCGGAGCCACGAATGGAAATCGGGGGGGGGTCTGTCCTTAAAAATAAACATCAAATAGAAGCAAAAAAGGCCAATTCAGGCCCTCCCTCCCCCAACAATCTCCCTCAGCGTTCCGTGCCCGCGAGCAGCGAGCGTTTATTCAGGTTTTAAACACTTAATCAGAGCCCAACAGGCGTTCGGGGGTGGGATCAGAGCTCCTCGTTCCAAACCCGCGGAGGGTTCGATGAAAAAGGAACGGGAAAGGCCGAACCCCCCTCCCCGAGCCCAAATCCCGGCGGGATCCGCGCCTGGATGCGGGGCTGGAGCTCTTACCCATGTTGGAGAGGTCGGGAATGGGAGTTCTGCCGCCCGGAGAGGGATTTTGTGGAGCCCAGAGGGCTGTGAAGGGGCGGGCGGGCCCGGGGCAGCGGCCAAGGGGAGGATCCAGGGAAGGAGCCGCGGCCGGAGCTCGGGAAGGACGAAACTCCAACCTGGAGTCCCCTCGGGAAGAGCGGAGGGAACTCGTGTCCCCCCGCCGCTGCCGCGCGTTCCACCTGCGCCTCCGCCTTTTCCTGGGAATATCGCAGCTTTTCTGCTCAAAAAACTCGGGATTCTGCTCAAAAACTCCGGGAATGCCGGCCCGGATCCCAGCTCGGCTGCAACAGTAACGCACTGAACGGGGCAGCTCCGGAAAAGAAAACTCGCCCGCTGGAAAAAAACCCGGGAATTCCCTCTCGGAGAAGATCCTTTCAAGTTCGGCACAGCTGCCCCGAGGGCTGGAAAATCTGGATTTCGCTCTCGATTCCAGCCGGGATCGGCTGAACTGGCCCTGATGAGAATGACTCCGCTGTTTCCCGCCGAGTTTTTCCAAGGAATGCACTTTGTTTTCCCCCGGGCAATGTTTCCTCTCTCGTTTCCAAAAGCGTTTCCAGGAGGGGATCCCACATTTCACCCCCCTGTGCCGCTTCCCTGCCTTTTGCAGGAACCACCAGGAAGAGCAGAAAACACGAACGGGATCGTCCTTTTATTGCTGGAGAGGTTTAAAGTTATTATTGGTATTTTTTAGCGAGAGAACCACGTGCATTTATCATTTTTTGGGGGGGGATTTCCCCCTCACCCCCCCTCGGGCACAGCTCCAACGGTTCCCAAAGCCTTTTTTGCATCCAGCATTTGGGAATTAATCCCATCCAGGAGTCATCTCCGAGATTCCTTTACCGGAGGAGAATCCTTTTATCAACACCTTGGCATTCCTCCTCCCCAGGGAGGCAATTAGAATGCAAAATTCTATTTATAGCAGCACAACAAGAGTGTGGAGGAGGCCAAACCCGCTGGGTTTTGGCCCCAGACTTTTCCCCTGGCATCCAAAATCCAAATTATTCCTGGAGATAAAATCTGAGCTGGCTCAGAGCTGCCTGCCTGGATCCTTGACTAGCCCACTGTTGACACAGCAAACCTTCCCTGCAAGTCTCACCCCCCTGATTTTTAGTTCATTAAGTGCTGCACAGGATGGAGAATTTGGGTTTATTCCCGAAAAAAAAAGCAGGTCTGGAAGCACAGGACCCACAATCCCCATCCCACCCCAAATTCCAATGCAGTTCATGAGCAATGGGGAACAAACCCAGGCTTTAAGCCCAGGATTTCATTTCAAGCTCACCCTCACCTGGTTTGATGGATTCTGTGTCAGATCTCGGATTCAGATCCTTCCAGGGTGGATATAATGGGAAAAAAATCTTTGTTTTCAACCTTTAAATTCCAAACTGGAGCTGCCAACAATGACAGTCAGTCTTTCACCTACAGGCAGAATGGAAAAATGTCCAGTTTAACTCATGTCCTGGAGCTGATATTGGCATAAAACAGGGAATGTTGGGGCCCTCCTCTTTATTAGACTCATTTTTTTTTTTGAGTCTAATGAATTGTAATCCTGAAATGGCTCTAAACTAATGAAAATCCAGTTTTTTCCTAGTCCATGGAAAGGAGTTACGACATATTTGAGGATTAAATTGAGCACAGAACCAATTAATGAGCATCCTCAGGCAGCACAGTGACCCATTTGTGCAGAGCATCAAGGAAAAATATTTAATGGAGGATTCCCCAAATTATTTTTTTTTTTTTTTTGAGGTGAAACAACATATTTTGCTTTCGCTTCCTGAGGAGCCCGGGAAAAGAATTTTAGGAAGGGGCAGAAATATTTATTTCCATAAAGAAACGTGTTCTTTGGGCGAAAGGATGGGGAGCTCAGAACTTCATGTGGGGAATTAAAGGCTGGATTATGCGGATGCTTTCAAAGCCCGGATTTAAAGAATGTTAATTACATTTAAATTTATCAGTAGCTAACTTCAAATTTATCCCAAATTAATAATAATAATAATAATAATAATAATAATAATAATAATAACTGAACCCACTGTCCTGTCACCCCCTGCCAGTGCCACAGTCACTCTCCCTTTTTCTGAGCCCCTTCTGAGCTCATAAAGGTTCTGAAAAGGCGCTGAAAGGCTGTAAATGAGGGGTAATCACGCTCCTGAAGGCAGCAGGTTCCAGGAATCCAGGTAAGGCCAGACCAGGTGAAGGCAACACCTGCCCTAGGCGAGGGATTTTTGACAGGGAGCACCTTAAGGCCAACCTCCTCCTCCTCCTCCTCCTCCTCACCTGAGGGCTGACCCCTCCTCACAGCCCCTCACAGCCCCTCACAGCCCCTCACAGCCCTCAGGGGGTGGCGGGCGGCTCAGGCCCAGCTCCGGGACACCCCGGGCCGGGCTCGGGGGGGCGGGCGGCTCCTCGGCGCCGCTCCCCTCACTCCTAGACGGATCTGAGGCCCCGCATGCCCCGCGGCGCCCCGAGGCAGCGGCGGGAGGGCCGTGAGGGCGGCGCGGGGGTCGCGCCCCGCCGGGCGCCATTTCCCCCCCTCGGCCCCCTCAGGGCCGCCCCCCGTGACGTCACCGCGCGCAGGAGGAAATGACGTCACCGTATCCCTCCGCCGGCCAGGTCCCCTTTTTTGTGTGTGTGTGTATGTGTGGTGTGTGTGTGTGTGGTGCGGCTGCGGGCGCCGCGCGCGTGTATCAGCCCGCCGGGCCCGGCGCCCTTTTTTCTTTGCCCTCCCCGTGAGCTCGAAGGGGGGGGGGGCGGGAAACACGGGACACGGCAAAGCACGGAGCCGCCCCCCGCCAGAACGTACAGAGGGCGAGCAGAACAGGGATAATTCCTCCTCATCATCATCATCCTCCTCCTTCTCCATCCTTCAGCATCCCGGGGGGGGGGGCTCATGCCACCTGCCCCCGCGCCCTGCGGGTCGCCTCGCCCGGAGAGCGGCGGAGCCCCTTAGGGAGGAGCGGCGGCGGCGCTGAGGGAGGTGAGGCGGGGGGGGGTACGCTCTGAGGGGGGGGCGGCGGGATTGGAGAGGGGGGGGTTGTGGGGAGGGGTGGGGGGGGCTGTTCGGGCTCGCTGATTGTGGAACCGGCTCGAACCGCCCGGGAATGGAGGAGAAGAAGGGAATGAAGGGGAGGGGGGGGGGGGGAGGGGGGGGGGGCGGCAGGGCCGGAGCGCTCCGTACACAAAGCGGCGGCGGCGGCGGCGGGAGGAGGAGGAGGAGAAGGAGGAGGAGGAGGATGAGGGAGGAGGGAGGAGGGCTCGCGGTGCCGGGGAGGAGCCGCGGCCGCTCCCGCCGGGCCCCGCCGGGCGCTCTGAGGGGACGCGGAGGGATCCGCGCGCACGCCCCTCACGGGCGGGCGGGCGGGCGGGGGGCGCGCGCGCGCGGGTGAAGCGGCCGCCCCTGAGGGGAGGGGGGCGGCGGTGATGCGGCCTCGCCGCGGGGGCTCCCTCCGCGCGCGCTCCCCCCCCCCCTCCATCCCCGCACGCTCGGGGGTCGCTTCTCCAACCCCCCCCCCTCGGGATCGCCGTTCCCGGGTGGCGAAAGGGGGAGAGGCCGCGTCCCCGTCCCCTCCACGCCCCTCCGCCCGCCTCCCTCGGTGCTGCCGCCCCCTCCTCGTTTTGCCGGCGCTGGCGCTGGTGGGCGGCCATGTTGGGCACGGGGATTATTTTTCGCCGCCTTTCTTAGCCGCCACAATACGCCGAGCGTGGGTTTTGTGGGGTTCTCTGCAGGAACGGCCTTTCTCCCCCCCCCCCCTTTTTAGGGGAGCATAAGGGTGAGGGGGGGTCTCCGATCAGCTCGTGAGTGACATCCCTCCCCCTCCTTGGCCTGCTCGCTCTCCACCTTCGCAGAGCGGTTCCCCCCCTCCAGTGCCTTGTGTGAGCCCCTCAGGGAGCTGGGATTGGCATCCCGACCCTCATCCTCTGGGATCTGGGATTGCCATCCCACCCCTCATCCTCTGGGATTGGCATCCCGACCCTCATCCTCTGGGATTGCCATCCCACCCCTCATCCTCTGGGATTGCCATCCCACCCCTCATCCTCTGGGATTGCCATCCCACCCCTCATCCTCTGGGATTGACATCCCACCCCTCATCCTCTGGGATTGCCATCCCACCCCTCATCCTCTGGGATTGCCATCCCACCCCTCATCCTCTGGGATTGACATCCCACCCCTCTCCTCCTGGTCCTGGGATTGCCATCCCACCCCTCTTCTCCTGATCCTCTTCTCCTGATCCTGGAGTGCCATCCTACTCCTCATCCTCTCGATTGCCATCCCGCCCCTCAGGGATCTGGGATTGCCATCCCACCCTTCTCCCCAGGGATCAGGGATTGCCATCCCGCCCTTCTCCCCAGGGATCAGGGATTGCCATCCCGCCCTTCTCCCCAGGGATCAGGGATTGCCATCCCGCCCTTCTCCCCAGGGATCAGGGATTGCCATCCCACCCTTCTCCCCAGGGATCAGGGATTGCCATCCCTCCCCTCTCCCCAAGGATCTGGGATTGCCATCCCTGGGATCTGGGTTTGCCATCCCACTCCTCATCCCCAAGGATCAGGGACTGCCATCCCACCTCTCATCCTCTGGGATTGCCATCCCACCTCTCATCCTCTGGGATTGTCATCCCACCCCTCATCCCCAGGGATCTGGGATTGCTGTCTGAGCCCCTCAGGGATCTGGGATTGCCATCCCACTCCTCTCCCCAGGGATCTGGGATTGCCATCCCACCCGTCATCCCCAGGGATCTGGGATCACCATCCCACCCCTCTCCTGCTCATCTCCCTTGATCCCCAGGTTTTCCTTGTCCTGCCTCTGCCTCGTCCCTCCAGTGCCATCCCCAGGTGACAGGAGGGCTCTCCCTCCCTCCCTCATCCCAACCCTCTCCAAGAAGAAGGAAAAGCTGCTCTTTATTTGCTCCCCTGAACTCACCCGCCCTCTCCTTCCTCCCTCACCTGCCCCCCTCCCTGCCCCTGCCAAACCTGGGGTCCTTCCCTGCCTTTTCCCGGCGCTGCCTCCCCGGGAAGCTCGGGAATTCCGTTCAGCAGGATCAGGAATTCCGTTCAGCAGGATCAGGATCAGGAATTCAGTCCAGCAGGATCTCCTGGAGAAAGGACTGGGATCTCACACCCCCAGGCTGTTGCTCCTGGCTATTAAAAATCAGATTTTTGGTGCCATCCTGACGTTTTTTGGGGTGTTGGGGAACCCAGGCTGCCTCTCAGGGCATCCTTTTCCAGCTGGGATGCCTCCTTTTGGGAAATACTTCTCCGGGATGCAGGAATGGGGCACGTTCCCTGCTCTGCTTTTCCCTGTGTTCCCGGAGCTCCAGTGAATTCTTTCCCTGCACATCTTTGCCTTCAATCCCGTAATTACTGGCTTGGAAACCTCCTGCAGTGTTTCCCATCCCAGGGAATTCTCTCTCCGTTGCCTCTCCCAAGCTCTGCCTGTGTGGAAATGTTGGAATGGGTGGGAAAATGTGGGTGGGTTTTTTTGGTGCCCCATCCCAGAGCCAGAAACTCGGGGAGTTTCCCACCAGTCTCCTCCCCCAAAAACACCCCCAAAAAAGTCAGAAATCGGTTTGTTTTCCTCAGCTGGGAGGCAGATAACAATCATCCTAATTAAATGTGCAATAAGACATTTTAATTAGTGGCATCGAGCCCTTTAATAAAACAGGATTTGGAATTGGTGGCGTTCCTGGGAAGCGGGAGGTGCCTTTTGGAAGTGATTTCAGCACCACAAAGGGTGAATTCCTGAATTCCCTCGGAATGTTGAACTCAGCTCACCTTTCCCCCCGAGGAAAAGCCACATAAACAGGCAAAAAAACCCTCAGCCAAAAGTGTATTTTCATCCCCTAAATTGCATCAGATTCGGGGCCGGGCCAATTAGTCCTTGAAAGCCACTAAAAAAGCTTTTTATCTTGATTTATTTTTAATTTTTATTATTATTATTATTATTTGAGGCAGGAATCCTTTTGTTTGTTTGCTTTTAACCCTCGTGGGGGGGTTTTGGAGGCTCCTTTTAAAAAATAAAGGTGTTTTTTCCTGGCTGTTAAAGAGGCTTTATCAGGAGTCAGGGAGAAAATAAGGCAAAAAGAGGGGAATTCTGGGGAGGAGGACACGGTGGAGGGGAGAGGGGGTGAGGAAAGGTCAGGTTTTGGTGCTAAAAATGGCTTTTTTGGGGCTGTGGTTTGAGCACGACCCGGCTCGGACACGTTCCCGCCTGTCCGTGGGTTTGGGGGGATTGGGGTTTGTCCAGGGGGGTTTCCCTGGAATCCTGGTGGGACCCAGGAGCAGCTTCCCCCTGGGCAGGGCTGGTCCAGGGCTGTTCCAGGGCTGTTCCAGGGGCATTCCGGGTGTATTCCAGGTGTATTCCAGGTGTGTTCCAGGGGCATTTGAGGGGTGTTCCAGGTGTATTCCAGGTGTATTCCAGGTGTATTCCAGGTGTATTCCAGGTGTATTCCAGGTGTATTCCAGTTGCATTCCAGGTGCATTCCAGGTGCATTCCAGGTGCATTCCAGGTGCATTCCAGGTGCATTCCAGGTGCATTCCAGGTGCATTCCAGGGGCATTCCAGGTGTATTCCAGGTGTATTCCAGTTGCATTCCAAGTGTATTCCAGGGGCATTCCAGGTGTATTCCAGGGGTTACTCTCCGGTTCCGGGCCCCGTGGAATCCCTGGATGAGAACTTCCAGGACTCCCCTGGGGGCTCGGTCAGGAACTGCCCCCTGGAAGCCCATGGAATTGTTTCCCCAGGGATTCCCCATCCCTGGGAGTGCCCAGGGCCGGGTTGGAGTGACCTGGAATAGGGAAGGTGGCACTGGATGATCCCGAGGGCCCTTCCCACCCAAAGCATTCCCGGGTTCTCTTCCCTCATTTTTCCTCAGGGGCTTTTCCCTTTAAGGATAAATCAAACATTAACCTGTGGGTGCTCCCTGCTGCCACTTGGATCCATTCCCACCTCGGCTCCGCCGGGATTTGGGGCAGGAATCCACCTGGAGCTGTGGATCCCCTTTGGAAAAGCTTTGAATCAGGGGTTTTTTGGATTTGGGGTTGACTTTTAGGGTCGGGAAATCCGTTTTTCCAGAGGATTTCAGGTTTTCCTCCCCCCTGGGATGGTCTCAGTGTCGATGGATTTGCCTCTGGAATTTCTGATCCAGGGGAAGGGAATAAATCCAGCTGGAGGGGGGGAGGAGAGGTGGGAGTGGAGATTCCTGGGAAACAGCAGCAACAGGATAATAATAATAATAATAATAATAATAATAATAATAATAATAATAATCTCCATCCCATCTTCACCCCAAACTCAGCTCTGCTTTCCCAACTCACCTGGATCATGGAATGTGTTTATGTATTAATATATAAACATACATTAATATTAATATACACATTAATATATCAATATAATATTAAGATATAAAATATATACTACAACATAATATCATATATAATTATATATAATATATAATATATAAATAATATAAAATATATTATATAATATATAATATATAATTATTAATGTATAATATATTATATAATTATTAATATAATATTAATATATAAAATTTATACTACAATATAATATTATATATAATTATACATAATATAAAAATATATAAATAATATATAACATATAGTACATAATATATTATAATTATTAATATTTAACATATTATATAATTAGTAATATATAATAATGTATTATATTTATTAATATATAATATATACCTACATATATATTAACATGTATCATGTCTTGCACAAATAACTCCCATTAATGTATATATTAATATATGAATATATATGAATATATATTAATCTGTATCATGTCTTGCACAAATAACTCACGCAAATATTTATATATATATTATATTATTATATTTATATATAATTACATCTCTAATAATACATCCCTGCATTTATACACAGAGATAATAACACCCAAAGATAATATATGTCTTTTTTTTTCCCTTCCCACTCTCATTCCCACATTATTTGTTATTTATAATTATTTGATATTCAGCTGTTATTTATTGGATTTTATTCTTTTTACATTTTTCCTCGTTTAAGGGATTTCCAGGCTGATTTTAAGGGATTTTCAGGCTGATTTTAAGGGATTTTCAGGCTGATTTTAAGGGATTTTCAGGCTGATTTTAAGGGATTTCCAGGCTGATTTTAAGGGATTTCCAGGCTGATTTTAAGGGATTTCCAGGCTGATTTTAAGGGATTTCCAGGCTGATTTTAAGGGATTTTCAGGGTAACATTT